GCTGCAACTAAAGTGGCTGCCCATACGCCAGCGCAGGGAGCAAAGGGCGCTTACCACTCTATTCTCCTTTCTTTGTTCACCTTCTTTACCCAGTTATCTATCCCCTTACTTTCAATACTTGTGCGCAAACCACAGTAAAAACCTTCGTTCTTCCCATAACCGTCTTCTCCAATGTCCCACTCATCACACTGACTTCTTTCATTCTTCCTTTTTCGTGCAGGCAATTTTGCTGTGGAATGCGCTCCCCCTGGATGTCAGGATGGTGTCGACACGTTTAACATTTAAGCAGAAAGTACGTGAGCTTCTCTTGAAGAGGTTGGCTGAATCATCACAATAATTATTTACAGAGTATTAGTAATTATGTTCATATTTATATTATATGCTATGAGTCTATGTATGTATGTATGTATGTATGTATATTGCAGTGTACTCGTGTGTAGGTATATATATTATTATTATATTTATTTATGTTCATATTTGATATATGTTAGTATAATCTTCTATTTTCTCAATTAAATCGTTGCTTGCTTCTTGCTCCTACCATTCACTCTTCTCTGCATCACCCAAAGGTCAGACTGGGAGAAAATGCCTGCGGCATTAAGTCCACCTTGTGTACACTTTGTGCATGAAGCGTTAATAAATAAATAAATAAATAAATATTGGTGATTTACATTTAATAGGTATGTCATGTGTGTGTGACCCTTTCACACGAATATATGTCAGGTCACTACGAATTATTTATAGATTTCTTCGCTTTTGGTTCATATAAACCAGTTTCAGATATTACATTGCTTTAAAGCAGTTATTCAACCAAGTAAATGTCAATGCCCTTCACCGAAGAAAGTAAAGAGTCAATTAATTCAGATTTACCACTTTACTCAAGGTCAGTATTAATAATTCCACTTTTAGTTGAACTGGTCAAATATGTGTTGTTACTACGTATTACAAGTTTATGTCTCTTTTAAGATATGTATAAAAAGGGATAATATTTCCAAAGACGCTATCAGTCAACTGTTAACACTCAAAGAGTAAAGATAATAAATAATTAAAATGAACAAGGTATTAAATTAAATAATTATGATATTAAATTAATTAAAAATAACGATTTACTCACGTAAACAACCGAGAAAAGCTCTACTAGTTTCAAGTCATAACATCGCGCCTCTAACACCGAAGGGGTAGGCAGAGGCACATTACGGCACTTGATGCCACTGTGCAATGTCACACCCACTTTTCACTATGAGTCCCATATAATAGGGGGTGAGCCTATTGCTATATATCGGGCACATTTCCAGACTCCGTGTTACTACTGACGACGAATCACGACAAAAATTTTCCTGACTAAAAACTGTTAATATAACTGTTATTGCAATATAAACTATGATATTGATAATCAATATCTAAACAAAGAAATTTTAATTTTGTATTTAATGTTAATTTCTTGTTCTTAGGTTCTTTTACTCGCCGCTGTGGTCGCGACGGTCGTTGCCCGGCCGCAACAGGGTCACGACCAACACCACGGTCACGGTCACGCCATCTCCTCACAGAGCATCGTACTGCACCACACTCACGAGACCAAACACCCTGTACACCACGAGGAGCACCATGAGGAGCACCACGAGGAACAAGGCAAGAAACACGAACAGAACCACCATGATGAACACCACTATGAGCAGTACTACCATGATGACCACCACCACGAGCAATACCACCATGATGACCACCACCACGAGGAACACCATCAGGAGGAACACCACGGCCACGCCTCCTCCTCACAGAGCATCAAGCAACACCACGGACATGGCACCGAGAAGCACGTCGTCTACTATGTATAACCTATTATTTATTTTAACAACATCAGATATACTATATACTTGTAACCGACTAAAACTAATTGTCACCACATATTATTCCAGTCCCACCCTAAGTACGAGTTCGCGTACAAAGTGGAGGACCCTCACACCGGAGACAAGAAATCCCAACATGAGTCTCGTGATGGTGATGTCGTGAAGGGCGTGTACAGTCTGCACGAGCCCGACGGTACCGTCAGGATCGTGGAGTACCACGCTGACAAAAAGACTGGGTAAATGCTTTCACCTACATCTTTATTTATTTATTTATTTTTAATTCATGGATTACGTACAGCTTATAAAAAATGATAAAAACAACAATAGGCGTAGATAACAATGAGCCAAATACAAGTCCTCACGTTTAAGATTTTGAATAAATTAATTAATATGGTGTAAGTACTATAGAAGATTAAAAATACATAATATATTCTGCGTAAATAAAAAGTGAAACATAGACAGTGCAGACAATATGATTATAAACAAACGAAGATAAACAAAAAAATACTAAATATTTTTTACTGCTTAAAAAAAATTGAGGCTTTAGCGGCTCTTTGCCGAGTTCACACTAGTTGTATACGGATCGAGGTCATATTCCTTACAAATATTGTTTAAACTGTCAAACACCAAGCGGTCACCGGTGACCGCAACCTATTGTTCTTTAATTGTGTCTATAAATACGGTACTCGACGAGTTAAGTGTCTGCTTGCACGCACAATGTAACTGTTCTGCCTGTAGTTAGATGAGGAACGGGATATGTGTAAATGTGGATTAAATCTAAATATTTTATTAGTTACATTAAATTTGATTTTTGATAATAGTTCTGGACCATCTACATTGCCGTTAAGAACCTTCAACATGAATAAACCATCTGCAATCTTAAACTACCTATTTTTGCCGTATTGCGAATAACAATTTCTCTTCTCACAGATTCAATGCCAACGTGAAATTCGAGGGTCACGCCAAGCACATTGTTCCTGAACACCATCAACACCACCACCACTGATTACGCTGATCTCTTTTGTTGACAAAAGTTATTTAATTTGTTATCGTACTTGTTGACCGTTATGCTATGTAGTATTGTAAATATTAAATCAGTCATTAACAAAATGTCATTCTTTTCTGAACAAACCCTTTGTTCGTATAAAAAAATCCCTATAAAAATCAAAGCTTGACTTTAATATTAATCTACTAAGAAATTTGTTATACTATGACTATATAGTGTAAAGTTAATCCAAAACTGAAATGATTAGTACTTTAGTAGCAGCTTAACAAAATGGATAACTATATTATACTAGTAAATCCTGTGAACTTTGTTTCGCCTTGGACAATTGGAAAATCTTCGTCAATTTTTTTTTGAGAATCTTCTCCTATAAACTAAACTCAATTGGTTCAACTGTACTTCAGATTTAAAAGAAAACTACTACAATTTGATAAAAGTCTGTAGTTGATCTGGTAGTGGAACCGAGAGATAGTCGAGGGAACTCCTGGAGGATTTACACCTGTGACCCCGTGTTTGGGCTTCAATTATTTGTATTGATGAGAACATAACACTTAGATGGAGTGTTACTGTCATTAGAGGTCTGATGATGCAGTAGTATGATAGTTGACGGAACTCCTCAACGGTTAACAGTAGCTACGTCGTATTTTGGTTTAAGTAATTTATATTGATGACAACTCTACACCTAGCTAGGGTATGTTTGTCGGTAAGGGTCTGTTGATGAAGTAGTATGATAGTTAAGGGAGCTCATCAATAGTTAACAGTACCTACCTGGTTTTTAAACTTAAATAATTTATATTCATGAAAATTTTGCACCCATGTGGTAACATAGTATAATATCTTAGTACTAAACGAAATACTATAAAATAAAAAATAAGAAACTACGGTCAAAAATATCGACTTCAAAAACTAAAAACTAACGAAAATTATAAAATAACTATTGTAGCAACAAATAACTATTGTTAGTCATACGTACTTATATGTTACACACCCACTGATAGATTAAAAGTCAGTGCCACAAACCCATAACAAAATTAAATTGTAAACAGTTTATTAATTTTATGTATATATAGGTATCATTTAGGTTTTAATAAATAGTTTTGTTTTTTTGTTTATAACTTATCTCACAATTTGTTTGTTTTTTATTTACTTTAAAAGAAGTTTAAAATTTTATTAAGGCCCACAAAAAATAGGTATCACTCTACTTTTCTTTATTCATATTTCAACAAAATGTAATTAACTAAGATTAGCTAGAGCTAATCTAACACACAAGACAACGCTAACGCCTACTCCCGCCCATACAGCGGACGACTGACTCCCCTAATCAGTCGCCCGTAGGCCTCTCCCATGGAGGTCGCAGATCAGCTACCACCTTGCAATGTTGACGGCCGGCGCGTCTATGGCGGTAAGGGAGAGAACTGAAAATGATAAGTAAATGAATATTTTTTCACACTTCAATTCAACTACACGTAGAGAAGCTGATAAAGTTACTGGTGAAGCATCAACGCCTTTTTCATACGATAGATATTTCTTAAATAATCTATAAAATATATTAGTTATTTTTCCTGCACTTAAAAACATTATTTACCCTTATTTTTTATAAAAATAGTAGCATAATTAAATGCCTGTTGATGTTTCCGTTTGCCACTATCGGTTATCGCAGCGGCCATGGTTATCGTATCGAGTGCTTCCTGGTGACTCTCGCGAATGACCACAGATGGAGTCCTCCGTTAAGATAGTTCGTCTCGCTGCCGCCTTTTGCATTTCGTCGAATGTAATCCGCTCCGTTTTAGAATTCCGCATATATTGAAACTATCATGAATCTCGTGAATTAAAGTAAGACTTTTATGAACCTATAGTGCAGAGTTGATTTTAAGAGTGTTCATCTGTCCATCGGTAGATGAATCAAGATTTAGCTCGCCGGCCGGCAGCCCACAACGCAACGACGCACACTTGAACTAGAATCCATAAGATACGTGGGCATTTACTGCAATCGTTATAGTCGGTATTGGTTTTTGATTCGGAATCGGTCGGTTTTCAATTTGGTAGCTCTTAAAAACACCACTCTGAAGAGGGGAAGATCTCGCCAGTTACCTTTAATAACTAGGTATTATATTAAAATGAACATATTACTGAGAAAGAATATTTAATTTTTACATTCAATTTTACAACAAATTCTTGCGAAAACAAAATAAATAATGACTTAGACATAAGGTTCAACAATGAGGTTATTTAACAATGGAGATCAGAATCAGTGGTGGTGGTGGTGTTCAGGAACGATGTGCTTGGCGTGACCGACGAACTTCACGTTGGCGTTGAATCTGTTGATATGAAATGAATAATTAGAAAATTCAATCGCATACTAGGTATATTATTTCTTTTTGTGACTGTACGTGATGTACTACTCACCCAGTCTTCTTGTCAGCGTGGTACTCCACGATTCTGACAGTACCGTCGGGCTCGTGCAGACTGTACACGCCCTTCACGACATCACCATCACGAGCTTCGTGTTGAGACTTCTTGTCACCGGTGTGAGGGTCCTCCACTTTGTACGCGAATTCATATTTAGGGTGAGACTGTAACACGAAACACATTGTTATCGAATACTGTAGGATACACTTTATGTCAATGGAAGACTAGAAAGAAAGAAAGAAAGAAAGAAAGAAAGAAAGAAAGAAAAACCATTTATTACTAGACAATGAAATAAACTTATGTCTTACATAGTAGACGACGTGCTTCTCGGTGCCATGTCCGTGGTGTTGCTTGATGCTCTGTGACGAGGAGGCGTGGCCGTGGTGTTCCTCGTGATGGTGTTCTCCATGATGTTGTTCCTTGTGGTGGTGGTCATCATGGTGGTACTGCTCGTGGTGGTGGTCATCATGGTAGTACTGCTCGTAATGGTGTTCATCATGGTGGTTCTGTTCGTGTTTCTTGCCTTGTTCCTCGTGGTGCTCTTCATGGTGCTCCTCGTGGTGTACAGGGTGTTTGGTCTCGTGAGTATGGTGCAGTACGATGCTCTGTGAGGAGATAGCGTGACCGTGACCATGGTGCTGGTCATGTCCTTGTTGCGGCCGTGCAGCGACCGTCGCGACCACAGCGGCGAGTAGAAGAACCTAAAAACCAAGAAATTATTATTAAATTCAAAATTATATTTTATTTTTTTATGATAAGAATATCACAATAATTATTTAATTTAATACCTTGTACATTTTAATCTTTTATTTTCTTTACTCTTTGAGTGTAAGCAAGTGACTGATAGTCTCTTGAGAAATGTTATCCCTTTTTATACATAATATCTTTTAAACACAGAGCACTACGAGTATGTACTACGTGTATGACCAGTTTAAGTAAGAGTAAAATTAATACTGACCTTGAGTAAAGTGGTAAATCTGAGTTAATTCACTCTTTACTTTCATTGTGAAGGGCATTGACATTTATTTTGTTAAATAACTGCTTTAATAAAGCGATGTATTATCATAAACTGGTTTATGTGAATCAAAATCAAAACCTTCTATTCATAATAATATTGAATTATGTAATTATGTGATACGTGAGTCACATAATTAAAGAACTAAGAAGGTATGGTTACATCTATTGCACTTTTTACCACGAGTAATGTTAATCTACATACAGTGGCGTAACTACAGAGTGGCAAGTCAGCAAAATGCCACGGGCGCACCTTTTTTTTTTTTGATGGGGGAAATCATCCAATGACTTCTCCCGCCTGGGTGAGGCGGGAGGGAGTGTCAGACTCTTACTGACTAAAAACCACCCCGTTCCTACTCTTGCACTTCGAGCCGGAGCTCCGGCAACCCGTTAAGTCTTCCGCGACTCCGTATCGGCATCAGCCTTGTTAGGCCCCATCTGTGGTGGTCTGATGGCTCCTTAAGGCGCGCGCGGAACGCGACGCGCCGTACGCTCGGGCCTGGTTCTGGTCGGGCGGCGAGTCACCCATGCTCGCCGTCCGCAGGCCCGTGCTTACGGTGGCCAGAGATCGTCTCGCGATCCCCGACGCCCGGAGTGTCTCTCGCGACGGCTGGATCGTGAGGAGGTTCGTTCCCTCACGCGCTCCGCCTCCTCCTTAGCTAGCATGACGGCTTCGCAGAAGGAGGAGACGGCATCCCAGTCCCCCTCGCTCCGTACCATGGTCTGAACCAGAGCCGGACGCGAGAGGTCGCCGTCGCCGATCACATTCCTGAGGACACGGCGGTGCTCAGTCCACGCAGGACACACCGCCACCGTATGCGGAAGGAAGGTACCGTTCAGAGGTTGTCGTCAGAACTTTCCTGTTTTGTAATGAGAAAGAGGCCCATCCGAACGGTATAGTTACGCCATCGGCTACGTACGTATAAGAGACTTGTGGAAAAGCCAAATACGAGTACCTATTAAATTATGCCATAATAATAGAAGAGGGTGTCTCCTTAAAACTGATGGCTTAGATAAATAGGCAATTGTTTGATACATGCACATGATATTACAGTGTGCATTATTCCGCGGTAAATTAGGTAAACTTTGACTGATACAAAAAAAATGACTCAAAGATAAAGAATGACACAACCAAAGGTTAAATATTATGCAGTATAAAACATTATGCAGTAACAATATTTTCATTGCTATACTGCATACGTTTTATGCACAATTATATTTATTTTTTACCATGTAAGACGATAAAATAATGGTTTTAATGCACGTTTGTTATTTCGAAATTTTGATGAATAAAGGTAAATGTTCTGGTCGTAAAGAAAGGAGTTGATTAACTGGATACTGTATCAAGGGCAGATAAAGTATCCAAAATGAGGCCTATACTGCAAACTGGTTGAATTTTTTTATTATTACGAAAATTCGTCGCACAATCCCTTTATTGATATTGATATTGTGTATAAAAACCAAATTATACTTTGATAAATTATCACTTACTATTTGGTGCTCCAAGAGTAAACAATACAAATCATCAACATGTTCAAGGTACCAATATAAAAATATTTATAAGTTCAGGGCAGCTTTTGAGTAGAGATTACGGGAAAGTGTGTCACAATCGAATGATTACAATTATATAACTAGAACTGTTTAACAGTGTATAGGATTTAGTAGTCTCAAGGCTAAAAATACAATTAAAAATATTGTCAGAAGACTTAATAATATCCTATTACCTATACAGATCATCCTAGCAGCTGCTGTGGTAGCGGTAGTCGCGGCGCGTCCTCAGGACGGTCACCACGAGCACCACGCCTCCTCCTCACAGAGCATCAAGCAGTACCACGGAAAAGCTACCGAGAAACACGTCGAGTACTATGTAAGATAATGCATCAATTCAATCTAAGCTTTTAGTACTTCTAAATAGGATTGATATTATCTAACACAATGTTATCTTTCAGTCTCATCCCAAATATGAGTTTGCGTACAAGGTTGTGGACCCTCACACCGGTGACAAGAAGTCCCAGCATGAGTCTCGTGATGGTCACGTCGTGAAGGGCGTGTACAGTCTGCATCAGCCTGATGGCTCTGTCAGAATCGTAGAATACCACGCTGACAAGAAGACCGGGTGAGTATTCTTACACAATCCTTCATATCTTATATATGACGTAATGTAACGACCATAGTTCTAAATTCATTTTTATTGTGTGCCATCAGATTCAACGCCAACGTGAAGTACGAAGGTCACGCCGTACACATAGTTCCTGAACACCACCACCACCACTAATTCCTTAGTACTTCTTAATGACTGTTAAATAGTTACCTCAAAGATTGTTGATTCTTTTGCCTGTAAATATATTTTATTTTAACATTTATTTCTTTATTTATTTTTATCATGATGAAATTCTGAACGGTTTATAACAGATATAATTTTTTTTTTACTTGATTGTCCAAAATAAAGTTTCGACTACTCGATTAAGGACCTCAACTAATTCCTCAACAGAAAATAGAGCTGTTTCTATTACAATCTTAACATTGAAGCCTCGAAGGCTGCCATTACGTCAAATAAAAATGGAAGACGAAGACTAATTACACCGAACCCAAGCAATAGACATAACCTAAGCATAGGCAGAAGTAGAAACAAGCATCATTAACATATTGAAAATAGTTTTCAGAACATCATCTTTCAACTTATTCTGCATCTTATCATCATAATTAACTCTCTAATTAAAATAAGTATTTTGCTCCACTGAATCACATTTACTTGTAAAACTAAAACATTTAGTGACGCTTGACGCCCTTGCGACAGCGTGTGTAATAAAAAAAACGGTTTATGAACAATCAAATAACAAATCTAGACTTACTTTCGCAGACGTATTGGTTTACTTTTACGAAAGCATTACAAATAGTTTTTACGTTTCGTGCATAAATACACCAATACCAAGCTAATATTAATTGAATAATTGCTATATTTACACATATCCTATTGATATAAAAGCTGTTGTTTAGAAAAAGTAGAGATCAGTTTATTTTTGCGTTCAGTTTAAACAACAGTAGAAATGGTGCTAAAGGTAATTAAATTAAGGAACATTTTTAGATTAATGCGGGAACAGTGAATGTCATAAAAGTGCAGTGTCTATCATTTATAAATATTATTGTGACGTTTTGTAACGTGTTAATTATTATAATTTTGTTTATACTTCAACGGTTTTGTGCCTCTTGATATTTAAATATAAAAGTTAAAGTGATAAATGTACCTGTTTATACGCTGTCAGTTGTATGTGTCTTTGAAATAGTGGGAGAATGAAACACTTAATAAAAGAGTCCTATAATTTAGTGTTAATAGTTGTGTAATATGTATGTTTAATGAGTTACCAATTAGTTTCAATAGTCTACATATATAAAAATGAATCCCGTTATCCCTTAGTCACGGCGTCACGCGTGAATGGCTGGACCGATTTCACTCATTCTTTTATTTTGTATTCGTTATTATTAGGAGAAGGTTTTTAAGACAGAAAATATTCTTAATTTCCTACGGGAATAGGAGAAAACGGGATTGCGCGTACGAAGTCGCGAGTAGAAGCTAGTAGATAATAAAGTTCAGAATAGAATTAGAATAGATACCATCTTTAGGAATTTGTTCAGGACTGCGTGTTTTTAATCAAATCTCCACAAAGTACAGCAAACAAACTATGATGTTACAACAATTCCAGGTGGTATGTGCTCTAAGCGTTTTGGCACTGGTCACCGAAGCCGTGACAGTGCACAAGCAACACAAACACGCGTTCTCATCGCAGCACTTCCTCCGACATGACGGCCATGCACAGAAAGTGTATATCATTGAACATCACAAGCCAAGCAAGCATGACCCTCATAAGAAGGAAGAACATAAACATAAGCATGTGGACTACTATGTGAGTATTATCAGACTTTGGTAGTTTCGAAACGAAAATATTTTTTATTTGGGCTTACATTGAATGGGTGACCCTTTTAGCATAGGCATGTTGTCAGCGTCTCTCTTCTAATTCTTTTGTTTTAATTTTTCAACTCAATGTTTTTATTACTTCCACGGTCGATCCATTATCGTCTTTTTTATATTTTATAACAATTTATAGTAATTGTTTTTTCTTTCTTTCTTTCTTTATTTGAAACGAAAAAAACATATAAATCGTAAACTCCATAGTATTGTTTTGTAAAATATGATAGCTTATTTATTTCATAATTTTAACCAAAATGTAGAAGAATTATATATCTTAGTACAGAAGCGTTTTTTTTTCTTTTCCATACTTATTTTTTAAACAACAAATTTATTTGCTGTATCATTTTAAATTTGAATAAAATTGAACAATTTATATCAATTTATCAGAGAATAATGAAATGTAATTTTGCTTCTAGACTCATCCTAAATACAAGTATGGGTACAAAGTGGAGGACCACCACACTGGTGACAAGAAATCCCAACATGAACATCGTGATGGAGACTCCGTAAAAGGATACTATGAGTTGCATGAACCTGGTGGTACAGTCAGAAGAGTTGAGTATCACGCTGATAAGCATAGTGGGTGAGTTCACTTCATAATGTTGTTCAATAATATTATAGAATTAAGTTGGTCTTGTAAGTCTTTTGGAACTCATACACACTTCTTACATAAACGTCAAGTTATATTGCTTGTATACAACGATTTACTCGACGTGTGTCATAGGAATTTTAAATTTGAATAGCTGAAAAATCCAAGATTTTAAATTCATCAGAAACACTAAACTAAAAGAGATATAATTATTTTAACAAAAAAAAAAATACAACTTAAATTAAAATCATCAGAATAATAGTAAGATGTATTTTAGTGAAATGTATAATTGATTTTTTTTTCAGTTTCCACGCGACAGTAAAACATAAAACACATCACATAGTCCCGAAGAAACATCATCATCATCATCACAAGAAAATGTAGATAACTTTGTATCAGAATGATAATTGCGCTGTGATAATATTAATTTAGTCATAAGTTTATTATAAGCCTGGTTTATATTTTTGTACTGAATAAAATAATGAGGTTAAATTAGGTATTTTCACCTAATTTATTTTTTTATTTTAAACCAACGCAAATGACAATTCTGTGATATTTAAATTAATTTTCCATTCAACAATTCTCTGTGCAAAGTATACTATAGGTATCTGACTATTTGTCATTTTTAAAATGAGTTCTTCAATATTTTCTTGGAATGTCTCTTTTGCACCTTGCCATTTCACCCAAAGAGCTTCCCCATTTTTAATTGCCACATTTATAGAGAATTTAAAAGAAACCATTTCATTTTTATATTACAGACTTATCTATTTATTTTTCACCAATGATAATAATATTACAATACAATACATAAAATAATAAGTTAAAATACAAAACAACAACGATAACAGTATTCAATAACAACGATTGGGTTTGCTCAGTTAGTGATGGGAGTGGTGTTCAGGAACGATGTGCTTGGCGTGACCAATGAACTTCACGTTGGCGTTGAATCTGCAAAAGATTAATGGTATTTAGTGGCAGTTATTTTATAAGGAAATACTAGGATTAGTGCTGAATTTTCTCTGGTTTTGGAAATGAAGTAAGTTGTTAGAAATCAAAGAATATTGTAAACTAAATACTAATTTAAATCCAATATGGCACACCAGTGTTTATGTTTCAAAATAAATAGACAAATGCAAAAAATAATTGTTTGTGTATCTGTGGTATACTCTGTGGTCATAGTATAGTCTATGGGGAGAGATGATCTATGTGCGCAGCGAAGTAAAAAAACAGAAGACGTAATAAACGAGTGTATCGATAGCTTTCTCTCTTTATACTTATACTAGCTTATGCCCGCGACTTCGTATGTGCAATGCCGTTTTCCCCCGTTCCCGTTCGTGATTTTCGGTAAAAAGTAAAAAAAAGTATTGTTTAAAAAGTATCCTTTGTCCGTCTCCTTGTTCTAAGGTACCTCCCTGCCAATTTTTATCTAAATCGATTGAGGCGTTCTTGAGTTATAAATAGTGTAACTAACACGACTTTCTTTTATATGTATAGATTCCGTTTGCTTATAACATACTTAACACACTGAAAAGAAAATGTCATGAAAGTTGTCATGGAGATTCAACAATAAGTACAAACTTATGTACTCACCCAGTCTTTTTGTCAGCATGGTACTCAACCACTCTGATGGTTCCATCGTGCTCATGCAGACTGTACACGCCCTTCACGACATCACCATCACGAGACTCGTGCTGGGACTTGTGGTCGCCGGTGTGAGGGTCTTTAACTTCATACGCGAACTCATATTTGGGATGAGACTGTAAAACATAAATATACTATGTAGACATCATCATTATCATCATCATCATCAATGATGATCTGATTATTCATTGAAAAAGGAATGACTAAAATAGTAATAACAATTATAATTTAATAGGCAATTCGAACTTGATCCCATCATCTCACATGAAATAAAACTTACATAGTACTCGACGTGTTTCTCAGTAGCCTTCCCGTGGTATTGCTTGATGCTCTGTGAGGAGGAGGCGTGGTGGTGGTGCTCGTGGTGACCGTCCTGAGGACGCGCCGCGACTACCGCTACCACTGCAGCTGCTATAAGGATCTGATGAAAACAATATTCTAGTATTACATGTTAGAATTGATACATTATTTAAATGAGCATGTTCAATAAGAGATTTGGTATATGAACGCCTTTATTAAACTTTTATGTACAAAATAAAATTAAACAATCCATTTTAATAATCAAAATTAATAAAGTTAATAATTATTTTTTTCATTTCAGAATTCGATTACTTTTTGTACCTTAGCGAACATTTTGATGTTTCAATTATTTTTTATTTGCTTGCTAAGCTGGTATCTGACTGATAATTTTCACAAGAAATCACCGAATTTATATAGTCCTAAAAAGCAAGTTTGAGATAAAGTAATAAACTGAATTGTATATTTTTCATTATGGAGCCAGTTTATCACCAAACTTGTTGTATTTGCAATAAGTACTCCAGTTAAAGCCTCGATGACCTCGAACGATATTATAGCACGTGCCTTTTGTTGCAAGTGTAAGTAAAATATACAACTTATAGACCAATTTTTAATTTATGGTACGAACATAATACGACTCTGAAAATGGTTACAATGATGGTGGAGTTAGGTTAGTCATATTTTTTTTTTAATAACACTCGTAATTAGAGAACGGTCAAATCAAAAGATACTTAAGAGATTAATAAATAAATTCACACATTACAAAAATATTTAATTTGCAGGAAATAAAACTATAACTATACATAATACATTAAAGAAAATTGAGAATAAAATCACCCTGGATGTATAAAACAATAGTAAATAAGTAGCAATGTACTAAAAGGATTTTTTATATTTTTATTGCTTTCATCATTTTTGATAACAATACTTTTTTAATTTGTTACTTAGCATTGTTATATTGAAAACTTGCGACATGTAAAGAAAGTAACTTTTTAAATTGTAACAGTTTTGTCAAGGTTTTCAAGATTTTAAATCTCTTCATCAGTTAAAATGGAATAAAACCTGTTTTTTTTTATCAACAACGCAGTTAATTTCGTACTACATATAAAATGTCGAATTAATTTGCAAAATTTATCAGTTATCAAATCGCTTTCGAAGCAAAACAACATATCAAAAAATCACAATGTTCACCAAAGTAAATATTACCTATAATGTTCTCATAATCAACATTTCCAAGTTTCTTTAAAAACACTTTTTTTAATGAATTTATTCCTATTTTTATATGAATGTCTTATTACTTTATTAGGTTCTCCTCATTGCTGTCGCAGTGGCTGCTGTGGCTGCTCAAGACCACCACCACGAGCACCACCACCACGCCTCTTCCTCACAGAGCATCAAGCAGTACCACGGGAAAGCTACTGAAAAACACGTCGAGTACTATGTATGTATTTAAAGCAATATTGATAGTCACTTTAAAATTACTAAAAGCATACCTCTTAACTTACTGATTTACTTGTTTTATTCCAGTCTCATCCCAAATACGAGTTTGCGTACAAAGTGGAGGACCCTCACACCGGTGACAAAAAGTCTCAGCATGAGTCTCGTGATGGTGACGTCGTGAAGGGCGTGTACAGTCTGCACGAGCCCGACGGTACTGTCAGGATCGTGGAGTACCACGCCGACAAGAAGACTGGGTTAGTAATAAAACACTTTGCTTTTACAGAAGATATTGACTATTGCTGAAAACATGTGCAAATATTAATTTTCATTTTCTTACAGAGTCAACGCTAACGTCAAGCGAGAGGGTCACGCCAAACACATCGTTCCCGAACACCACCACCACCACTGATTCTAGACGAGAGATCTCATTGTTATTTAATGTAATCCGATTGTTATAAAGCTGTTAATGTAACTTAATTTAATAAATAAAAATTTCTAAGATAATCTATTTGAATTATTTTCTTTATACCTCCACGTATGAAAGTACATATTTACATCGAAAGGATGATAAGTATGGAAATTTAGTTGATTTTTAAATAGAAGTGTTTACCACTTTGGCAGAAGGTCTATTTTACAATGTCTGGATAGTCGTTATGAACCAGATTTTGTTTGAAATAAGAATGTAATTTGTATTAACTGTCTGTCTTATACGTTTATTGGGAACTTACGTAGGTTTGTGAAACAGGTGCACCTAGTGTGGAGTCATTAGATAAAGAAAAGGGGAAAATGCTTGACATACATTCAACATGGAAACACAGTCGTTATTTTTCTCTTGGCTGACCTCTAAACGATTAGTGGTTTCGTTTTTAATTTAAAAATATGAATGAAATAAAAATACATTCTTATGATTACGAATGAAAAGAAAAGTTAGTGTTTTCTTTATATTTTTGAATTTACGTACTTTATTTTAACTACAAATTTAAATAAAATTATTTAATAATACTTTTTGTTTTTGTTAATGGAAACAGCCGGTACAGGAGCAGACGGATCACCTGATGGCAAGAAATCGGCGTCGCCCTTGGACATTTGGAACACCGAAGGTGTTACAAGTGCGTTACCGGCCTTTTAGGGATTAGGAATTTGAGGATTGTCTAATTTATTTTAGTGAAATAATCTTTAACGCGTTTATTTAATCTTTTGAAGGCCACGGTCGGCTAATACAAATAAAATATGACATGATCAGTCATAGTCGGCCGCAGCTGGTAAGAAAACATTGTCTGCACTTTAAAAGAGGTACATTTTGTTTGTTAAACAATAAATGACAATTAAGTAAATTGATTGTGAAGTAAATTGAGTAAAATGATTTAATGGTTTTACTCACATACTGCCGATAAGTGCAACAAAAATGACCCATCCTGCCTCCAATATGTCCATTGGTAGATAAGCAAAAAAAACCGTACGAACTAGGTACGGTGATCATGAACTTTTCTTTGTGTCATTGTTAGAGATTAACTAATATGTGTTAGTAGCGAGTCCTGAAATAGACTTTTCAAAACTAGGAATCACCGCACATACCTTTAGGAAAAGAAGGATTACTGTCCAAGTAACACATGGTTTAATTTAATTTAGATTTAAAATCTTATTATAGAAAAGATAAAATAAATAGATTCACTCCACTATTTCATAGGGCTCATACAGATGAAATCTCAGGGCTGTCATGATTGAATTGATAATATTCTTTCTTATGAAGTAAGTGCTTACAAATACTTAATTGGATATTTAAAAAAACCTTTTTCCACTTTGGGATTTTCTACTATGTGGTGGGTGCGTTTATAAATATATAAGTTCACATGCACAACACACCCATACCTGAAACTACGATTTGTGGATCACACAAAGTGTTCCTCCGTGTGGGAATCAAACTCGCTACACGTTGCGCGGCAGCCGGTTACCTAGTCTTCGTGCTAAACGTGCAGTCAAATTTTGGTATAACAGTAGGTATATAGAGGTATAAATTTTAAGACTAAAATGTATGATTTAAATGTATGCACTAGAAAAAAGTGGTGACCACCTTTAAAGTGGTACCTTCCTCGTCAATTTGTCACGAGCTTGGAAAAAGAGAAGAATATAGAAGGACTTTTTTAAATTTTATCAAAATTTTAACATGTACATTTAACACGTACGTACGTTTTCACGAATGGGCCGGCTCGATCGGAGTGATACCACGGCCTCACATAAAACCGACGTGAAGCAACGCTTGCGTTGTGTTTCGTCGTGTGAATGAGGTTACCAGAGGCTCAATTACCCTCCTCTTTCCAATCTCCCTAATTCCTGAATCCCCAACGATCCTTAAACTCCTAATCCCCAAAAGGCCGGTAACGCACTTGTAACGCTTCTGGTGTTCTAGGTGTCAATGGGAGACGCCGATTGCTTACCATCAGGTAATCCGTCTGCTCGTTTACCGGCTTATGCCATAATGCCATAAAAATATAATAAAAGTAAAAAATACATAAACAAGTATTATATCATTAAATATTTTTATTAGTTCAAACGAGTATATCACAAAGTAACAAAGATAACAATTACAACATTATTATAAACAGTTAGAGTTTGGTATTTTTGGACTCAGTGGTGGTGGTGGTGTTCGGGAACAATGTGTTTGGCGTGACCCTCATGCTTGACGTTGGCGTTGAATCTGTGGATGTAGAAATGATAAATAATTTTTATGTAAAGTTACTGCAGAGATTAAAGTTATAGGAATAACAATGAAAATGTTGACTCACCCAGTCTTCTTGTCAGCGTGGTACTCTACGATCCTGACAGTACCGTCAGGCTCGTGCAGACTGTACACGCCCTTCACGACGTCACCGTCGCGCGCCTCGTGCTGGTACTTCTTGTCACCGGTGTGAGGGTCTTCCACTTTGTACGCAAACTCGTACTTAGGATGGGACTGCAATACAAGGACACGTCTGTCAATAACATTCGCAATTGGTAATGCAAATCGATGGTATTATTACTTATAGAAACATACGTAATATTCGACGTGTTTCTCTGTGGCTTTCCCGTGGTACTGCTTGATGCTCTGTGAGGAGGAGGCGTGGTGGTGGTGTTCGTGGTGACCATCTTGTGCAGCTACAGCTACCACCACGACGGCAATTAGAAGTACCTAGACGAATAATACAATGTATTTAATACATTAATGATATACTTTTTATCTATTGTATTTATGACGATTAATATTTAATCGAATTTTTACCTTAGTGAGCATTTTGTTTATTTTTTGATAAGTTTCAAGGATCGAAGGTAACTGATAAACTTACAAATCAGAATCAGTGTTTTATATTCGACAAAATATCAGGTTTGAAGTGACAAAGTACAAAATTTCAGGTTTAATAATAATCACCTAATTGCATAAACAGTATTTACTCATTACACTCAGACTGTGTAACCTTGAACTCATGAAATAAAAGTACATTTCACTACCCAGCCTAATTACCACATTACATAACATCACGCCTTTTATCCTCGAAGGGGTAGGCATAGATGAACATTACGTCACTTAATGCTGTACAATTTAACATTTCACAATTTACATATAATATGTTATGAGTCCCATGTACTAGGGGGTGAGCTTATTACATGGGATATATATACCGAGCACAAATCTAGAATCCGTGCTACTACTGAGATATTTTTTAAAACCTAGTAATACTTTGCCCAACCCTAATCGAACCTGAAACCCCATGCCCGGCAGTCAAACTTACGACCACTCGGCCAACCAGGCAATGCTAACAAAATACCACTTTAAAAAAAATACGTCCAAGAAATATAGAGGAGTTCCAAATATAAAGTATCAGTTCAGCACTGTTTCTACATAACTTTACAATCAAATGGAT